ATTTATCCTGACATAGTTCTCTTGACCTCTGTAAGAACCTGAGTTTGTGAAGTGCTCATCAGGGCCTTATGGGAAGGAGACAGCAAAGCACAATGGGAAGCTGGCCTGGAGAAAACACCCTTTTGTGGGAGGAGGCGGCTGCTGAAAGGGGGACCCACAGTTAGGCTGAGATCACACATCGATTCCTAGGTTCAGTGCCAAGAGCAAGCAAAGAAATGAGCAGACATGAGCAAACTCACCCTTGTTGCCTAAACCTCTCAACATCTTCTCCAGGATTTCTGCCTCCAATCCAAAGAATCTGGCTGCAAGAAGAAAACAGCCTTTGATTAAGTTCAGCAAAACGACAGCCCATGGCTAACAGGGACAGTGCATCCAGTTTACCTGAACTGCGGGAAGTGCTTCGTGAAATGCGACAGGACCTCGTCTATCTGAATGGCCAGCTCTCTCGTAGGGGTGATGATTATGGCTCCAACCTACCCACATGGAAGGAAGGGACACAGTCAGCGGCGCAAGGGACTTCCAGAGAGGAGCTCATAGACCCTGAGCCCTCCACCACACAAAGGAAAGTTCCAGAGAAACAGTAGTTCCTGGACTTTCTCAGCAGCATCTCTGAGCAGGTATCAATTACTCTGAATTGCAGTTACTCATCATTACACACTGCAGTTATGCTCTTTAAAGTCACTGAGAACACTGAACTAGTGAACACTGAACCACTGCTCACAGGGTTTGGTTCCTGCCGGTCTCTGGGCATCACATTTTTATAAACTAATCAATACATAACCCTATTTTATGTAAGTTTGTGCTCAAAAGACTCTAATATATACTGTTGATTCATTCCTATTGAACTCGTGGCCAAGAGAACATTAACTCATGCCTGAACCTGTGCTTGTCTAGCACGTGGATTTTCTCTGTATGTCATAACCTTCTTGCACCCAGGAACACTAGACTGCACCTCAGTACTATATCACGGGGCCATTTCAAAAAGCAAAATCACCAACATAAAGCACACAAATGTGCAAAATGGCTGGGCGCAGCGGTTCACACCTGCAATCCCAGAACTTTGGGAGGCTGAGGTGGGAGGCACTTGAGCGCAGGAGTTTGAGACCAGCCTGGGCAACATAACAAATCCCCGTCTCCTCAAAAAAATACAAAAAATTACCCAGACATGGTGGTCCGCACCTGTAGTCCCAGCTACTTGGGAGGCTGAGGCAGGAGGATCGCTTGAGCCTGGGAGATGGTGGTTGCAGTGAGCTGATATCATGCCACTGTACTCTAGCCTGGATGACAGAACAAGACCCTGTCTCAGGGAAAAAAAAGGTGAAAAACATGGCACTAAATGGACAATGAAAAGGACACTGTTTATACCTGAGCACTAAAACAAAAGGCACCTTTGCCCACGCCTGTGACCACAGAAGCACCAAGGATCCACTGGGGGTTATACATTTTAATAAGCAGGTAAATTCATAAATACAGAATCCACAAATAATCAGGATTAATTGTCTTTTCTTTTTTGAAACGGAGTCTCACTCTTGTCACCAGGCTGGAGTGCAGTGGCGTGACCTTGGCTCACTGCAACCTCCACCTCCAGGGTTCAAGCCATTCTCCTGCCTCAGCCTCCTGAATAGCTGGGATTACAGGCACATGCCACCATATCCAGCTAATTTTTACATTTTTAGTAGAGATGAGGTTTCATCATATTGGCTAGGATGGTCTCAATCTCTTAACCTCGTGATCTGTCTGCCTCAGCCTCGCCTCCCAAAGTGCTGGGATTACAGGCGTGAGTCACCGCACTCGGCCAATTGTCCTTTATTTTTTCAAGATTCATTCATTATTTGTAGAGATGAGGTCTCACTGTGTCGCCCAGGCTGGTCTCAAACTCCGGGACTCCAGTGATCCTCCAGACCCAGCCTCCCAAAGTGCTGGGATTATAAGCATGAGCCACTGCTTCTGGTGTATTTTTTCAAGTTTGTATCCAGCTGCTTAATCCAATGTGGACCCTCTGATGACTAGGTGAAAATAAATCACTTTTGCTGTCCTCACCTGACTCTTTTTTAACTTCTCTTCTCTTCTCAGAAGAATTTCCAGGATGGGGATGACAAAAGCGAGCGTTTTGCCACTACCTGTGACCTGCAAACAGAGAGTTTTGGTTTCCTTTTCTTCCTCAGAGTTCATTTGAGAGAAAATGCGAGGACAGGCTGCGCGTACCCAAGGCACTCACCGCTTCTGCAGCAACATCTTTGTTTCGCATGAACAGAGGGATGGTTGCAGACTAAAGGGAGAGATGGCAAAGCACAGGTTAACGGATGCCATGAATTCACAGGTGAGACCCAGAGCCCTAGGAACAGAATGGGCGGCTAAGGTCATAGTGGGGCCCACCACAAAAGCGACTCTGAGTAACCAAGTCACCACAGAGAAGTTGAATCAAATGCGGCAACTATGTCTACATGGAGAGCGTGTGGGGAGAGTGAGCTGAGCTGGGAGGCAGGCGTCCTGAATTCTAGTCCTATCTCTCCTACCTTCCCCTCTCTGAACCAGGAAGGGGTTGCAGACACTGGGTTTTAAGGTCCCTTCCAGTTCTGGTATAACAGAATGATGATTCCAATAAATTCTCTCATTTTAAGCACTGTAGAGGTCTCCAGACTTTACAAGAAACCTGGTTTTAGCAACCAAAACAGTTAAATCTCAATCAGATTCAGGTCCCCAGGGCCTGAGCTCTCTTGTATCACAGCAGGTGTGATATTATTCCAACTGCTTCTACACAGTGACTTCTATCCTCCTGCCTCAACCCCCGAGGGAATATTTGACAATGTACGGAAACATTTTTGGTTGTCAAAACCCAGGGTGACCAGGTGTGGTGGCTCACATCTATAATCACAGCACTTTGGGAGGCCCAGGTGGGTAGATCCCCAGTTCCAGACTAGCCTGGGCAACATAGGGAGACTCCGTCTCTACAAGAAAACGTTTTTAATGATGTGGATGTGATGGTACATGCCTGTAGTCCCAGTTACTCAGGAGGCTAAGGCAGGAGGATCACCTAGGCCCAGGGAGCTGGAGGCTGCAGTGAGCTGTGACTGTGCCACTGCACTCCAGCCTGGGGAACAGAGCGAGATCCTGTCTAAATAAATAAATAAATTTAAAAAATACAACCAGGGTTGGGAGGTGATGTGCTCCAGTGAACAGATTCTAGTAATGCTGTTAAACAGCCTGCAATGCCCAGACAGCCCCACAACAAAACATTTTCCAGCATAAAAGGTCAATAGTGCTGAGGGTGAGGCCCCTGCTCCAGGCCCCTGCTGTCCAACAGAACTATGATGTGAACCACACAATTTTCCACTTTCTAGTAGCCATAGTAAGAAAAGTAAAAAGAAATGGATGAAATAAATTTTAATATTTAACCCAATATATCCAAAATGTTGTCCCTTCCACATTTAATCAATATTTAAAAATCAACATTTCTCCATTCTTTTTTCATACTAGGTCTTCAAAATCCAGTGTATTATTTGATACTCAAAGTACATTTTGATGTGGACAAAGTGTATTTCAAGCACTCGACAGCCCTGGGTCTGGTGACTACGTAGTGGATGACAGGTCTAGACAATGAACTCTGAGGGCAGAGATTGGGTCTTGTTTGCACTACATTCCCAAGGAAGGGCACACAGCACTCCCGGTTTCCATCTCCAGCCCTGCCTGCTGGAGACAGATCCTCTACATTCCCTGGAATCTTATGGGCATCTCAAACTCAAGACTTCATTTATTTTAAATTTTTTTTGCAATGACAGGGCCTCCCTATGTTGCCCAGGCTGGTCTTGAACTCCTGGTCTCAAGTGATCCTCCTGCCTTGGTTTCCAAAAATGCTGGGATTACAGGCATAAGCCACCATCCCCGGCCTTTATTTATTTTAATCTTAGAGATGGAGTTCTCCCTATGTTGCCCAGGCTGGTCTTGAACTCCTGGGCTCAAGGGATCCTCCCACCTCAGCCTCCAAAGTAAATGGTACTACAGGCAGGTGCCACTGGGTACCAGCTCAGTGTTTAAAAACAGAACGCTTGTGGCCGGGTGTGGTGGCTCACACCTGTAATCCCAGCACTTTGGGAGGCCGAGGCAGGTGGATCACCTGAGGTCAGGAGTTTGAGGCCAGGCTGATCAACATGGCGAAACCCCATCTCTACTAAAAATACAAAAATTAGCTGGGCATGGTGGCGCATGCCTGTAATCCCAGCTACTTGGTAGGCTGAGGCGGGAGAATCACTTGAACCTGGGAGGTGGAGATTACAGTGAGCAGAGACGGCACTCCAGCCTGGGCAAAAGAGCGAGACTTTGTCTCAAAAAATTAAAAAAAAAAAAAAAAAAAAAAAACACCTCTTTTCTGACTTTTGACTTGACTCTTGACCCCAGAACTCTTGACTTTCCCTCTGAAACCTGTTATACTCTCTAGCTGTTCTCAGGAAATGGTAACACCATTCAGCTAGCTACTAAGAATAAAAACCTCAGGTCCCTCTAGAGTCTTCTCTTTCCCAACCTCCACTTCCAGTCCCTTAGCAACCTTAAAGCTATCCCAAATGTGACTTCTCAATATCCACTGGTTCCACGCTGCTCCGAGCCACCATCATCTTTTACCTAACAATGGCCTCCTAAGCAACCTGCCTGCCTCATCTCATGCCTGGAAAGGCCACTCTCTACAGAGAAATCACAGCCCTTCCCTTCCTAAACAGCTTCCTAGATAAGATGGCTTCCCACTACATTCAGAATGAAATCCAAGCTCCTACAAGACCCTGCACAATCCATCTCTTACACTACTCTTGATGTTCAGCCACAAAGGCCTCCTTTCTGCCGCCCAAACCATGTGCAGCCCGCCCCAGGGCATTTTTGTGCACTGGCATTTCTCTCTGCTGAAATAATCTGCCCCCAGTCACCCCAGAGCCAGCTCCTTCTCAATCACTGAGGTCTCAGCTCAATGACACCTCCTCAGAGGGGCCTTCCGTAACACCGTGTCTCACCTCTCCTGTCCTCGAGTGTCACTATCACAACTGTCTTAGTTCTTTCATAATACTAACCAGCAGCTGAAATTATCCTTTTTCTAGCTCCTGCCCTAGAAAGTAAGGCTATGAGCAGATGCCAACACTGCAAACTGCTCAGACCCTAGAAGAGTTCCTCACACACAGCAGGTCCTCAAGAATTACTTCTTGAAGAAATGCATAACTGGAGGGTCGGGCCGCTTCACTTGGATGTATAACAACAGGTAACACTTACTGAGCGCCTACGGTGTGCGGGCTGGTTTATTTAGTCCCGACAGCAACCCCATGATGCAGGTGTTATTTTTTCTTCATTTCACAGAGAAGGAAAATGAAGCACGGAGAGATTAAGCCATTTGTCTGAGGTCTCACAGCTACAGTGGGCAGGGCCAGGTTGAGAACCAGGCTCGGAGAGCGGAAGCCATTTGTCTGAGGTCTCACGGCTACAGTGGGCAGGGCCAGGATGAGAACAAGGCTCGAGACCCCAGTACCCGGGGGTGGGGTGGGGCGTGGCCCCTCTGCCCGCTCGCTCGCGGAGCAGCTCCGCATCCCTCCAGTCTGGGCAGCCTGGAGACGAGGCAAGAGCCCCAGCTGGAGGGATGAGCCCCAGCGCTCGGGTCTGTCCGATCACCTCTGGCGTATCCGATGCAGCGGGTGCCTGCCCCTTTCCCAGTCTCATTTCCCCCCGGGAACCGATACCTGCACCGGCGTCATGTATGGGAAGCCCAGTTCCCGCAGCGCGCCCAGCACCCGTGGGTGCAGCGGCACTGGCAGCGACTCCCAGGAACCCTCCGTCACGTGCTCCATGGTGAGCTCCTTCTCCGCCTCCGTAGCCGCCGCTAGAATGCGCCCTGTGCACCTCCACCGAGCACTTCCGCTTCCGGCAGCTGCGGCAGCCGTCCGGGAACCGCGCGCTGGAGCAGCCGAGTTCCGGAGCTCGACGAAGGCCCCCACGCAGCGGGAGAGAGAAAAGGCGCCCGCGAGATGGTGAAGGCAGGCGGTGGGGCAGGCCCGGGGAGTTCCACCCGCCCCGCGCAGCTCCTTGGACTCCGGGCGCCTCTCCGCACGGGGCAGGGATTTTGGCGGGAGGGAATCTGGCCCGGTCCTCCCACTTTGCCTGTCGGAGGCAGGTGGCGGCACAGGACCGCGTCCAGGCCGAAGGGCCGTGGGGCTAGCTACCGTGGGCAGAGAAACGTGCCCCAGCCCCGAGCCTCGGGTTAGCAGCCCTGCAAAAGAGGCACCCGCTGATGGCGGCGAGGCCGGGGATCCGATGGCCAGTATGTCTTGAATGTTGATTTACTTTCCCGGAAGTTAGCGTCAGAGTCTTAAGGACACTGTCCCATTCCTCTATTCACTGTTGGCCTAGGCCATTCATGGCCACACACCCCTTCACTCAGCAGGCTTTTATTGACCACTCATTATGAGCTGAGCTCTGTGAGGGCCTGTCTCCTTCAGCTAGGTGCATGGCTTACCCCTGTTGGGGCTCTGAAAACGAAACTACCAAATGAAGGCCCCTGAGGCAGCCTCAGAAGCAGGTTTCCCTCTGACCTCTTGCCGGGTCTCTCATCTCTGATTCTCTGAGGCTGGCCATAGAAACAAGAATCCCTCTTACTCATGGCGGAGTATAGAAACGGGAACCCCTTTTCTCCAAAGTTACCCATAAAACCTAAAAATACTACTCAACTCCCTCTTTCTACCTTTCTGTGAAAAAAGTGGCCATAAAGAAATTATCTGGGCCGGGTGCGGAGGCTCACGCCTGTAATCCCAGCACTTTGGGAGGCCGAGGCAGGCGGCTCACCTGAGGTGAGGAGTTTGAGACCAGCCTGGCCAACGTGGTGAAACCTCGTTTCTACTAAAAATAAAAATAAATTTAAAGCCAGGTGTGGTGGCAGGCGCTTGTAATCCCAGCTACTCGGGAGGCTGAGCCTTGAGCATCGCTTGAACCTGAGAGGTGGAGGTTGCAGTAAGCCGAATTCGTACCACTGCTCTCCAGCCTGGGTGACATTGCTGGACTCCATCTCAAAAAAAAAAAAAAAAAAAAAAAAAAAAAGGCCAGACACGGTGGCTCAGCCTGTGATCCCACCATTTTGGGAGGCCGAGGTGGGTGGATCACGCGCGGTCAGGAGTTCAAGACCAGCCTGGCCAACGTGGCGAAACCCCGTCTCTACTAAAAATACAAAAATTAGCCAGGTGTGGTGATGCACTCTTGTAATCCCAGCTATTTGGGAGGTTGTGACGGGAGAATCGCTTCAACCCAGGAGATGGAGGTTGCAGTGAGCTGAGATTGTGCCACTGCACTCCAGCCTGGGCAAGAGTGAAACTCAGTCTCCAAA